GCGCGTACAGAGCATAAATAAACAAAGAAGACAACGAAGCTATCACTGGTACATTTGGTGATAATAATTAATGTTTTTATTAAGCCAATCACGTTCTCTTCATAAAAGTGGGGTCACTACAACATACATCTGATTTTTAGTTTAAGATACAATCATTTACAATAATACGAAGTGTAAATTAGTTCTGAATAGATTCCAGTCCTAACTTATTCTGCATCCGAATAATAAGAATGAAAGCTCCTTATTCTGTTAGTTAGATACATACTTTGTACATTAAAATATGTGACTCGCTGTTATTGATTTTACAAAGTATACATCCCATTAATCTGACATTTCAAGGTTTGTTCCGTGAAGGATACATCGTAACAATAAATAATTTCTAAGTTCTTTACTGAATAGAACTTATCTAGCACTTTACCATTTGTGCTAATGTTTAAGCAAAATATATGATTACCAATGCAAACCCATTCACATTTGACTGAGCCAAGTTTTACCTTCCATTTTGAGCATAAACAGGTTATCGTTTTGAGCTCCGTACTGATACAGTTTTGTACATAGTTTAGCTTATGGGCAGAAAAAGAATACACAATGATAAGATCATCTAACATAGAAGAGGCTTACTCATTAAAAGGTAGATCCAGGTATTTGTGTAGGCCACAGAGAATGAAAGTCTTCAGACACCATACTTGTGATCAGAACATCATCCGTCAAAGAGGAGCTTATTTTGTGAATTTAGTGTTGGTGACTGAGGAAAGGATTAAGCCAAGCAAGCAAGGGTTAGATGTCCTAGTTTTTTACTCATGAATGATAGACTTGTTTGCAACCCCAAGAAAAAATAAATTCAGCTATTATATTACCGACCGATTTACTAGGTTTAATACGAGCAAAAATGCCATTAAGGTTCATGAATTTAGATGTCCTAAAACTGAAGGCAGTCAACAGGTCCAGGACATAGGTTAAGTTGTTGTTTGGACTAATCACCGACGTGTAGCCGTTACCACGAGAAAACTGATGGACACATATTCAAAAGTTTTACTCAAAACTGCATCTAATACGACAAAGTTTCGAAAAATAAATTTTATTATCAAGGAAACAATCTTAAGTCTATGGAGGCAGCTTGACATATTTACATCACTTCAGAATGGCAGAGTTTAACCAGTTGACACGTGATGTGAAATTTTGCAATCGATAAATTGTTACTTTTATTCCATGAATCCAACTGTACTCTACCTGAAAAAGTGGAGATCTAAACGAGATAAATGAGTAGGGTAAGAACAAGAGATTAGAGTTCACTGATAGCTATATGATGTTCTAGATATGGCTTCCTAATAAGAACGAACTTACCATAAAATTTAAAGTTTCATGAAGATATTCAACAGGATATTTTGTACATATACACACATTATTTCATGATAATTAGTAAACGTAAATGGAAGGTGAATGTTGTGATTTTTGCTTTTTGTACTTAAAAATAGTTGACATCAAATTCCAAAAACAAGTCATTCAAAAGTCTAAACTTTAAACCAATCAATACGAAAGTTGACATTGAATTTGATATCTTTACTCAATCAGAAAAATCGTAGGTGACATAGGATCAAGAAACAGATGAAAAGGAGGATATAATCAAAACAAAGGTTCAAACAACGGCAGGTTTAAGGCCAACAGCAACCAATCAAGATCGAGGTTAGCAGGACAAGCTACAGGTTAAGCGTGAAGAAATTCGAATACTTCACTTCTGCTATCTGAAGTTTGTGCTGATAATGTTGTTCAGAAGAACAATGAAAGCTCCACAACTAAATCATGCAGCTCAGAGAATGAAACACCACTACAAGCTTTACTCAACTGATGTCCCTCTCATGTGACCTGACAAAAATTAATTGTTAGATTTTTCCAAGATTGAGTTTGCATTTGCTAATGCATCAGTATGTTAACAAACAATTCTGATTGTGATCAAATTAATAATTGGCTAATCAATCCTCCATTTGTGAGATGTTAAGCAACCATAATGTACATCTTTGTATTTTCATCATATTACACGTAAAACTAAATGATTAATAATCTATGTTTTGATTAAAATGGAATCATTTTAATCAATTGTAGTTTATTTAATTCATTCGTACGCCCAATCATGTTTTTTTTTACTTTTTAAACAATTACATGTTGTTCATGTTCTCATGGGAATACATTTTGTGCATATGAATACAATTTTGTCAAGGCCATTTAATTTCTTTAAATTAAATTTCATCAATATTTATATTAGTGACAGAAGTTGCATGCATCAAACAGAAGATTGCATAAATACAATAACCAAAAGGATTTTGGATCATATAAATGATGAAACCTATAGGTATGAATTATTTTCGATGTGATAATTTTCATTCTGTAATTTCATATTCATTCATGGAGAGAATGTTACTGTGATGAAATATTCCAGTCATTTAATTAGACTTAAATAGTAACAGTAAGATTATCTGGTTATGACAAGAGTATTTCGATTAGGAATAAGACTAGTTGGATGATTTATGAGACGCAAAATAAATTTTGTTTATTCCAAGATAGATATTTTAAATCAAAAAGATTTTTATTAAAATACAAGTGAATATCCATAAAGCAAATTCCTAAATAAAGTGAATTTTCAATTTGACTTGTTCAATGGTGGTATTATTATTATTACCAATGATATTTATTGGGATGTGATTTGATTACTTATTTAGTTATTTACGCCTGTTACCCCCAATGCAGCATAGGCCGCCCAACAGTATTTTCCAACCTATTGTGTTGTGGGCCTCCCTTTCCAGTTTTATCCTGTTTTTGTTCATTCTTCTCATGTCCGTCTCCATTTTTCGGCATAATGTGTTCGTTGTTCTTCCTCTTTTCCTTTGACCTTGAGGGTTTCAATTGAGGGCTTGTATAGTGACTGAGTTGGGTGCTTTCCGCAGTGTGTGTTCTATCCACTTCCACCGCTTCTTCCTGATTTCCTCCTCCACTGGAATCTGGTTTGTTCTCTCCAACAGTACGTAGTTGCTGATGGTGTCTGGCCAACGAATCCGAAGTATTTTGCGTAGACAACTGTTAATAAACACTTGTATCTTCTGGATGATGGCTTTCGTAGTTCTCCAAGTTTCCGCTCCATACAGTAGAACTGTCTTCACATTTGTATCGAAAATCCTGATTTTGGTTTTGGTTGAAAGTTGTTTTGAGTTTCAGATGTTGTTCAATTGTAAATATATAGCACTTGCTTTGCCGATGACGCCTTCACATCTGCTCATCAATGATTCTGTACAGGTACATAAAGGTTTTTACGTCCTCCAAAGCATCCCCATCAAGCGTGATATGGTTGACGCCTGTTGTGTTGTATTGGAGAGTCTTGCTTTTTCCTTTAGGTATGTTGAAACCTGCTGCTGCAGAGGCTGCTGCCACACTGATCGTCTCCTCTTGCATTTGTTGTTGCGTGTGCAACAAAGAGCCAGATCATCTGCGAAGTCCAGATCGTCCAGCTGCATCCTGACTGCCCATTGAATAACATGATTCCTTCCAGATATTGATGTCTTCATAATCCAGATGTTGTTCAACTATAGAAATGCAGCCCTTGCTTTGCCGATCCACGCCTTCACATCCGCATCAGATGCACCTTGCTCGTCAATGATGCTGCGCGGATATGTAAAGGTTTTGACATCCTTCAAGGCATCCCAATGATATTCATTAAGATGTGATTTTATCTGTGGGTAAAATTCTATGAAAACCTGTCTTTAACTTATCAATAAATACTAGTTCCAAATGATAAAATAATTATGATTTTTCTAGTGATATCCTAATCAGTAGATATTAGTATTTCTGACGTTTTGTGACTTAATATAAGTCACTTCTTCAGATTAAATAGGTAAATAAACGAGACATATTAATTTATTGTGGTTATGGATTAATTTACTCTGAAGAAGTGACTTGCATTAAGTTACGAAACGTCAGAAATACAAATTTCTACTCATTAGGATATCAGTAAAAAAATGACAATCATTTTATTTTTATTAACTTCTCAACAAATCCTTAATTTACTTGATGTGATCAAGTTCAACTTTGTTATTGTTACTCATTACTTCCAAAGTTTTCGGACTATAGGATATGAAAATACACGAATGTATAACAAAACAGTTGGTTTCTTAATTGTTTACAGTGTTCGGAATGAGGCAGGGAAAATGAACGTATAAGAATAACATGAATTTACGGATTAATTTGGTTCCTCGTTGATTGCTCATAACTCATAGACTATGAAAATGAATTCATATTATTCTTCGGGGTTCTTTGCATTTCCTTTATTCAAATTTATCAATGGAAATGACAGTATAAATTTTACCCAGGTTACAAGAAGCAAGAAACATTCGCTATACTGGAAACTAACTTTTATTAAAAAATGTACAATATAGAGAGAAGTGTAGATATGAATATACAAAACAAAACAATGAAAGGCCAAAATTGTTCAAAAATCCTAGTTCTTCTTATCTCCTTCCAAACGAAGGGCAGATTTCAAAGAAATATAATGAAAACTTGCTTTAAATGACAGTTATCATTATCATATGTCTCCATACTGTTTAACTATTTTGAGTAAAATCTCAAAGACTGTAGAGATAGGAAATAGACAGACAACGTAGGCTGCATGTAAAGTTAGCTGTATGCAAATTTTTGTTTTCGGGCTAAATTATTTTGATCGATTAGTCAGAAAATGGATTTATGTGTTTGGCTCAAACATATGAAATGAACCAATCACTATTCATAGTATACAACATGTGTTTAGTTGTGAAACAAGCGTTACTTTGAAATAGGCTAAAATCTCAAATTTCCAAACTATTGGTAAGCTCACATACAGTAAATTCTGTCTAGGGGTAAAAAGGAAGTTAACAATGTTTTTAGTATAAAGAAATTTTCTGTTGGTTCATTTTAACAATCAGTGTATATGTATCTACGAGTCAATTTGATTTTCCATAAAGAATAACAACCCATATTATATGAAATGGTTTTTCTGTTTATTCATGATAAACAATATTTATCGTGATCATTTACAATTTCTATGATATTCAAAATCATTTAGGAAATACATTTCATTATTTTCTTGTTTAATAAAAGAGTTTTAATTAAATGCATTATTTAAAGAATAAATATACTAATTGGAATTCTAAACATTTTCCAGAATTGCAACAATTTCGAACGGTTGAATCATCATGTGCTGGATTATCATTTCACCATGCAAGACCGCGAGATTTTGTCACATCTCAAGTATGTTCAAGGTTTCCAAATATGATATAGTTTGTTTTAATCATGCTCTATTATGTAATAAGTTGGGAAATGTTTAAGGGACCACTGGGGGCGGGTTATTTACTTTACCTATGCTATTATTAAAATTGAGAATAGAAAAAACATACCCTTTGCATCAGTAGATAATGCTGGTTTCATAACATTACCTAACTGAGACCAGGAATCATATTTATTTTTTTGGAATAAAGTCATCCAGAAATAAAATATTAACAGATAAAAATACTGTAAGTTTATTTATATGATGATGATTGTGGTGAAGTTTCGTTCTCTGAGCACAAAATTCAGTTAATATTCGAATTTTTTCATGTATGATTCGTAGCTTGCCCTATTGACCTCACTTTTGATTGATTGGTCAATAACATCTATCTGAGCTACAAATTTCCTCTACCATCTCAAAATATTACTGTTACATTTGTTACGATTGATATTATGTAAGTTTGATAACTTTGACAAAAATTACTTGAAGAGATTTGAAAGGAAAGACAGACTGAATGATGAAAGGCATTCTATCAGTTGATCGGTCAACAATCTTTTATACCCACAAGTCGATTTTACTACTAACAATCAAAACATAAATCTAATCAACTGGTGATTTGGAGTTAATGAACGGCAATAATAATAATAATAATAATAATAATAATAATAATAATAATAATCAGAAATTATAGCAAGTGGTTTATTCAATATCTTCCGTTAGTCCATTGATAACTGTTGAGGTCTATTCACACCTCATAAATATCTTGTTTATCAGTTCTGTAGTTAAAGTAGCTATTAAAACCTTTATATATTATGGTGAAAATACAGTGATGTATATGGAAGATTGATTAGCCAATTATTAACTTGAACGCAATCAGAATTACTTGTTAACATACTGATGCATTAGCAAATGCAAACCCAATCTTGGAAAAATCTATTAATTGATTTTTGCCAGGTCACATGAGAGGGACATCAATTGAATAAAGCAATCAAATTTAATGCCAATTTTCGCATTGTTTGATCGTAATTTGAAGTTATTAATATTTCTAAATCATACCAATGAATGTCAGCCACCATTACAGTAAAACCTTCCCTTGTCACACAATATCGTGAATTTCAGTTTCGAAGTGAAATTGTTAAGTATTTTTAAGAAAATAAAATTCAATGAAATCAGAGTTCTGTCTGCATAAGTCAACTCGAACAACAAATATTACATTTGACAGCCAGAGCTTGAAAGTCATTATTGATGCCACAGCCTCGATAAAACAGTGCCTTCATATAATAAAAATATGATATGTTAAGGGTAAATACTTTATAAATTCGATTTATGAAGGTTTATTCATATGTGACTTAAGGATATAAAGATATGGCAACACAATGGCTGGATTAAAGTTATCATATACAAAATTAAAAAGGATAGATAAACTCATGAATAAGTATCTGTACTGTCAAATTGGACAACATTAAAAGGGATTTTCAAAGGATTTATTCTGTCATATTCATGTTAATCCCTTTTTTCAAAATTTGGAAAAGCTGTGGAAAAAGCTGTCATACTGTTTTCTTTCATCGAAACAACTTAATGCATATTAAACTGATTAAACTTGCCTACATATACAAGAGTGATGGATGATTGTGATAGGATTTTCGATACGAAACTTCTAGAATTTTGCTCTGCTCTATGCACAATATTCTAATCACTAATTTTGCCACAATAAGTACCCTCTAGATGACAACCATTTTTACACTCAAGAAGTTGTCACTACATTTAGTTGTCTAAATATAAAAAGTTGGATGGATGATGCGACGGTGTTTGAAGCAAAGTGCTTAGGTCCAAATTCTGAAGTGGATTTCAACTACGGGATGCAAGTAAATCGAAATTGGATAAAACGTGCCCTTCGTTCGACCACTGGTCACTGTTCATCTATTCTATTCTTCTCAAACAGTGGTTATATAGAGACAGTTCTCACAGGGTTCACATATATCAACTAAGCCCAACAAAATTTTAGTTGAAATATCATCGATGAGCTAATCCAAAACCATCTCTGATTGAATTAATCTTAAGGATCGTTTTAAGTATGTGTACGAGGTTATTTGATTGTATCTGATTTTAAATTCATTTTAGTCCAGATGCAGACACTAGTTTGTAAGTCACTTCTGTTTCTCCCAATCAATGTACTCACACAAATGTAAATCGGTAAACACAGTGGGAAATACATAATCGTTTACACAATGTTCTTGCTTTTGGTGAAGGACATAATATGTTTTTCCACTAACGACCCTTCGTGCATATTGCGTTTTACTAAAAATTAACGGAACTCTTTGTTCTATCACAAGGCTATTTGGCTAACATCTGAATGAAGGGCTGATACAGACAGTCTTCTTGAATAGTAGAGGCGTAGTGGATGTCATCATACAGAAATCTTTTGATCTGAGTTTTAGGAGATAAACATTATTCATCACTCTTATTTTAGTAGCTTCAACTCGTCTTTAACAAAATCATTTGTACAAATGTTGTCATTCCTATCAAATATAACTTTCAACGAGCCTCGTTTACATTGAACTGAGATATTGGCCTGTCAATATAAGCCTCCTTTTAATGGATAATTCTGATGAACCATGTTTACTTCTAATCATAAGTATACCTGAGAATAGATGACAATTTTAAATGTAAATTTGAAGAGAATTAAACCTAGTTAATATTCAAAACTCTTAGGATTTAAGGAATTAGATTACTCTTTAATAATAATATGCTTGTTCGGTAGTTTCATATGACTGGATTTATTCTTTCTTCTAATTTTTAAATCCCTTTGAATTCAAAATAAAATATAAATTCAGTTTTACCAGTGAAATTGAGTACCATTCTACTTCTGTAATCACGTTGATTCACTTACCATTTATCTATTTTGTATGGGATGATCTTAAATTTAGTTCTTGATTCATTCTGTGCTTTAAAGTGCACAGAAGTTATTGTGTCTCTAGACGCCTTATAGAATTACACAATTGATTAGCTATTTATGACAAATTCATGAATTAAAAAGTAAATGTTGGATCAAGTTATTTGAAATGCAGTACTTAAATAAATTACATAGTTTAGATAAACTTTGGCTTCACATTTAATTAACTGTTTAAATTTATTACCGATAAATAACATGCAGTAAAGGTGTATATGAAAGTTATTAGTATACTTTTCTAACGAACCCCATCTAAGTTAGCTCTTATACCATGTAATACTTCCGAAATCTCAATCATGATTTCTTCTGATAGAAATTTTATATGAAGTTCCGCAGAACCTCGAAAACCATAGCTTCTCTAAAAGCTTTTCATTGTCAGTTTCGATGATACTCATCTCTGTATTCATAACGTTTATTGAGTTGCATTTAGCTATATAATAAATACAGAACTATTTGGTTTTTCGGTTGTAAATATAAATAAAAATTTAACTACAATAAATTCTCAGTGGCGTTTTGTGGAAACTACATTTTGTCATCCGAATTTACGTCTCTTCAAACTGTTCCTCACAAATCTGGATAATGATTAACAGCGCTCAATAGGTAGGTTGGCTGCCATATTTTCATTTGTAAGAACATAATTATTGACTCTAAAGAATGCTACATTGTGCAGCATATGAAAGTAAATAGAACAAAAGCAAATGAATCATCATCTCAGTGTTCATGGTCAAATTGGCTGCAGAATTTTTAATAGCTTGATGATTCATTCAGTCATTTGATAACATCAACATTTATTTCCAATCAACTTTTTCAGTGGATGTGTTTCACATCGAAATATTTCACAATATATCGTGTATTGCTGGCAATTCTTTTGTTTGTATGGATTATATACGATATTGTTAGCGAAACGATGAGACATTTTGATCAATCAGAATATGGTTGGATCACGTATGGTACCAATTGGGCATTTCTGCTACTTACCATAACTCATATATCATTAGCTTTGTACTGTTTGATTTACAACATAAAATGTAAGTATTTTTATACATGCAATTAGAATACATTTATGTCACACATTTAATCAAGTCAACCTATATAAATATTTAAGTTCGACTCATTTTCATCCATCGGCAATGCAAGTTTTAATGGATGAAAAAGTTACCTATCGAAACTGTAAACAGAAGATTTCATCTATCGAAGAACAGTTTAATGATAGTGTAGTGTGACTGGCTTAAGATAGCAACTTCCAGCAGATCAGTGTCACCCGAATGTCAAGACAAAATGACCGCATTTTCTGTGTAAGCGAATAAAAAATTCTGTTGGATTTCCGATTGCCGTTCATTGATACTCATTCCACTTATTTGTACATAAATTTTGATGGACGTTTTCGAGTTATAATCATCTCGAACAAGTCAGAAATAATTTCCATATGCGAAGACTAACCGATATGATTGTTTTAGTGGAAACAACTCAGGGAAGTTTTGTAACATGACTAGCCGAAAAGAATGTAAGATGGTCGCTCGGTATAGTTACTTGATCTAAGGTAATTAAAGTTAATCGTTGGGTACCGGCTTGGTGGTCTGCAGGTTAAACATTCAAACGCGACGCCGAAGGATTTAGGTCTGATTCCTTGTGGTGGGGTTTAGGAAGCGCAATGCTGAGCTGAACCACAATAGGATGAAACAAGTGCCTAGTGTTTCTTGGTTTTCAATGGATTTATAACTTAGGCTGGTTTGAGATGTCAAGAACCCTGTATATATACAGCAACCCATGTACTGAGACATGAAATTAGGTGGAGGACCAGTGAAACCAATGAATTTTTGTGTAGCATATATATCATTGTTTAGACCACTCAATGACTTCCTCTATATTGACCCTACATAGAATTGAACTGGAGATCTTTCAACCTTCTGATGCCTCACCTTCTCAACTCCAACAACGTTGTGATTTTTGAAGACTGTTGGATTCCAGCCTACTGGTCTAAAGTAATTAGACTCTCAATGAGGCCCTAAGTTCCTAACTTGATATCGTGGCACGATTGTGGGTATACACTTCCAATGAAATCCGTGTGAAATGCATCAGTTATTAATTGTTTTTCAGTTTTATTTTATTCTCCTGATATGCTAGTTCATGATGAAAACTAGCATTAGAATGAACAGTTTTTGCAGTTCCTCTACCTCTTATTCGATTACTTGATGTCATAAATCTGATACACTGAATTTGAGTAGAGCGCTTTTCTTGTGAACCACAATTAATTCAGTTTACAAATGGAGAGAAGAAAGTAAAAATCATGGAACTTCTTTTTGATTAGAATGTTTCACTCTATTAAACCTTTAATTATTGGTGTAGTTTTGATAGAAACACAATAAAATGTTATGCATTTTACTAGCTGATTCGCTACTAATTTTCACCGATTTGTTATTACACACACAGATTCTAACAACGAACCAAGATATTATCAACCGATATGGTTTATAAATAATATATCATCCACATGTATGCTTGTCGTCTGCGTCATATTTTGGTTTTCATTGTCTAACATTCCATTGAGTAAGTTGAATATTTACAACTTTCAGTTTAATGAGTCTATTCAATGATTGGTAATGGTTTATTCAGGTCATTTAGTCCAGACTTTTTTTAAAAAATAGAGTTGATTTTAATAAAGAACTGACATTAACTAAACAACTGCTGAAAACTAGTTATTACTGGATAACTGCTAGATGACTTGAAACTACCGAAAGATGAAGAAGTTGAACGTCAAAAGTGTCGAGTGTCCTTCATTTTTAATGGATTTCTAGTTAGCTATTTTTTAATAGAAACAATTTTAAACTTATTTTCGTTCTGTATGTATATAGATACCAAATGGAACTGGAAGAATCTCAACTTTGTATCATAATCTGTATATAGTGATGCACAGAATAAAACTGATAGTTAATTTAGTTGAAAGTTTATTTAACAGTGGTTTAAATTTACATATCTTAGACAAAGTATGTTTAATTATGCACTAAGGGTGCAAATATAACTAAAGGAATTGGTTCAATGATCAACTTACCCAGAGACTTTAGAACCTATTATTCAAATGAATGAAAATTCAAATAGGTGTTATTGGTGGCTTTTTTACTTTATGGATACTTAATATTGAAAACCTTTCACTGATTTTGTTAAGTGTGTATTACTCAGCTGTCCTCTATATCTTAATTCGATGTGGGCAAAACCTGATAAATTGTAATAGAATACGTCAGTGTACTTTGTGTTTCGTTCATAGATATCTTCAACTTTTCGCCCATGTTTCATGGAACAACCTAGTGAACTGGGATTGGGTACGAATTATCAGATGGAGTTGGCAAATCGGTTGTTGATTTGGTAAATTTTCGTCTATTGAAAGGGCGAGATATTTGTCGTCCATCCACTATAACATCAGCAAGTCGTCCAAGGTTACGCGATATAGTGATGTTTTTGAAGAAAACTAGGTAACTGTCAGGTCAAGACATGAGATTTGTTTATGAAACTATTGAATATTAGCCTAAGGTGAATCGTTGAATACAGGTTATCTGGTTATGTTCTACTCTGTAACTGCAATTATCTGTTGAATGATTTGCGTGACATAGATCAAGGTCGATAACATTGCTTGGGAAGATTCATTATTTGGTTAGCACTAGATCCTGAGCTTTAAACTATTTTAAGCTGTTCATTCAGTGAGTAACTCCATTCTTATCTAATCATTAGTACTTCCGTCTGATACTACTACTGCTCGTAATAATACAATAATCGTACTGATAAAATCAATGAGGAGTGCTGATGTAGTATATCAGCGTAGACCAAGGATTTTATATTTTTAATTTTTGTGAATAATTGTGGAAACGATCATCTTTATTAATGTTACTGTTCAGATGCATTGGGGAAATATCTCCTCTGGTCTCATGAATAGTTCATAAATGTTATCGACTTAACATACTTTATATGCACATTTAGAGTTTTGTTAAAATTCCATGTTGACTGCCTAACAATATTACTATCAATTTTATCAACCATGATCATATTTATATTCATCTGTGGTGAATAGCGAACCTCGTAAACACTTTTTGAGAACTTATTTCATAATGTTCACTTAAAATTGAGCATTATAAACTAATTCGCGACTAATGATATCCTGTTCATGATAAAAGTTACTGGGCTTTGTTTTATTCAGTTTAGTTCGAAACTACCTTATTTGTTTTATTTTAGTTTCACGGTTGTCTTATACAGAATCATTAGGTGAAAATTCCGGAAAAAAGAGAGTTGAACAAGGTGCACAGGCTAGAATTATTCGGAGTCAGAAAACTGTAACCATGGGTTGTATAAGCATTGTTAGGAAAGTAATAGACTTGCAAATTTTAAACAGTAGAATGAATGAAAATCTTACAAGAGTTTAAAGTCAGGTAGATAATAGAAGGGGCATCGTAAACTTGTTCCCCTATACCTTTAAGATGAAATGACTTTGAAATAACTGTAGACTGATAACTGTTTAAATCACAGATTCTTTTCGAGTCGCCTGAGATGGTGGAGAAAATTTGTAGCTCAGGTGGATGATTTTTATGGTGTTCCGTTCTCTGAGCTGGATGTTTTGGTTGTGGAGCCTTCATTGTTCTTCTGAACAACATCATCACCACAAACTTCAGACAGAAGTATCTGAAAGCTCCACAACCAAAACATCCAGCTCAGAGAACGAAATACCACAACAGTCACTTGATAATCAGTGGCCAATAGAAACACAGTAAGTTGAGTTATTAATGAATTTGTATGACTTAAAAAACTATCGGCGTTAGATCTGTCACTACTGAGCTGGTACTCAATCACACTGGAAAAGATTTATCCAGTTCATTGTTGTAGTTGTTTTCAAACATGCTCAGAAACAGAGTTGTAAATTGGCTGCAAGGAAGAAATGAGAATTCAAAAATTGATGTGGAACATACGGAACTGTTTAATTTCCAATAAGACTCGTTTGTTGTCGATATGATAATCTGAAAGACATTTTGTTTAGAAGTAAACCAAATGATGTGGCCTTAATAATTCCTATTATCCGATTAACTAAAATATAAACAAAAATCAGTCTTCATAGAACTCACCTGAAGTTCAACTAAATTAATTGATAACATCATCCTAGTGTAAAGCTATTGTTGCCTGCAATTTTATCACTGTTTGATATAATGTCTATAACTAGATACTTCAATCTGATACTTATAATATTTTTATTATGACTTTGCATGTTTGATCTACAGGTGTATTTACAAGTTGGCAGAGTCGAGTTAAGCATTCATTGACTCCAATCTTGGTGCTAATCGACACATGCCTTTGTGCAATTCCTATACGAATGATACACGTGATTTACCCTTGTTTGGTTGGTTTGATATATAGTTTATTCACATATTTGTTTTGGTTACTCGGTGGTGCAGGGCCTTATGATAAAGGACAAGTTTATCCCTCCGTTGATTGGAGTAAACCAATACCAACAGTACTAGTGTGTCTTTGTGCCTTGATGGCAGCTATTTTATGTCATGTGAGTTTGATTTATAAAACGAAGTGAAATCTGAAATCATGTTTATTGTGATGGATTATATTTATAGCTTTATTACCACTTATTGCAACTCAAAAATCACAACAAACCCCACATGTTTATCAATCTTGGTAAGTTAAAAGTTATTTATTTCGCTAATAGGCATAATAATTTCGTCCGCACTGACTTGAGAGTTTAAGATAAATTGAGCATTGGATGGACTGTTAGTAATAAAGATAATCTATATATAATATCCTTGTTTAGAAAAACAGAAACTTTTTCTGACGTTACGAGAATTTCTGTATACCAAATGAAAATAACTGAAGGTTAAATAGTACAAAGAATCTAAAAATAAATATTTTGCACGATCAGTCAATCAAAACGGGTCTGACCAAGTCATTATCATGTCACTCTGGTCAAAGTAATATATCGTGATATACTGGTGCATTTGCGTGTGCGTTAATGGGTGTCAAAGATGTGACGTTTGTCATGTGAAGGGACAGAATTTAATCTGCATGTATGACAGTAGTGTGAGATGTGAACAGAATTGAACACGATAACTCGGATGGATGGATGGATGGATGGTAAGGATTTAGCAATATATGGAAAACCTCAGCTACTGGCCTTTCTCTGTACTTGGTAAAGCTTCTACTATTTCGGTATTTTTTAAAATCAACTTGACCTGATCTAACTTGAGGTCTTTCAAGTTCTATAAGATTGTCAGGCGGCTTTTGTGTACCTGTGTTCATTGGCTCGATCCAAGATTTCGTGAGATGACTCTCCAATATAAACTTTTATGTTTTAATTACAATTTGTTTTTTGTTAATAATGAGATTCTAGAGATTATTAAAGATTCCCATTATGAAAATTAAAACAACACATATAAACGAACAATATTGTTTTCGATTAGATCACCATCAGGCTTTATTATAATGAATATTTTCAATTAGAGTTATGGAGATTAGTGTTTTTACATATTTGAAATCATCAATCAACCATTGTTAGACCACCATTAGAAACCTGGAAGCACTGGACGGCCGTTTCGTCCTGGTATGGGACTCATCGACAGTACGCATTCACGACTCCTGCACCTCAATATATATATATATATATATATATATATATATATATATATATATATATAGCATTATTTTCACAACGTTTATTTGTTTGTAATTTTCTGCCTCTTTCTGTTTATATTCTTCACTATCTAATTCTGTACACACTTCTTATCACGTAATGGTTTTGGTGTTTTATAATAACTATTTTAAGTCTATTTATCTACGTTTGACCTACTATCTCCAGTGTTGAACTATTGAAAAAAAAACTTTTGTTATCGTATTTTATTATTCTTTCTACTTACAGTACACCTGTCTTCCTATTATCAACTTGTACTTGTGCCTATTATGTGTAGTCACGTGATCTATTTCATTTCATTTTGATTATTGACTCAAATTACCTTGATCGGATTAACATTTTCATATAAATATTCATGTATATTACAGTGAAGCGTGATGACGATCTAGTTGAAAACAATATAGTTCGTTTATATTGTGTTGTTCTAATTCTAGAGGTTGTCACATGTTGACAGCAAATTCTTGGAGTTGAACGTTACAGAAATTGTATAATTAGGTTTGTCAGTAAGGTTATAAATGAATATCAGAGTAATGTGTAACACTGACTGGCATTGCTAGTTGTAGACCGCTTAAAATAAATGAAATCTCTTGTTAGCCAGTAATTTGTAAGCAAATTACTATTTCGTATATTCATCACTAGTGTATAATGTAAATAAAATCATCAACTTGTGTTCATGAAATTACTCACTAAACGTTTATACAGTTTAAAGATTACTACAGCACTGATCAGTTTGTCAAGCTTTGCGTATAAATCGCTCACAAACAAATATTAAAGAAACTTTTCAGACTTATTTTGATGTATACAGCTGATTGAGTCAAAATCCTGTTTACTACTTAGTGGTGAAATTTTCATTTTCTGAACAAGTAGTTTTTGTCATTGAAAGGACTAAGGGACTAGATTTTTTAAAATTAGGTTTATACTGACAGTCTCCCAAACTATTTCAATTTAATAATTGAGATGTTAGATTTGATGAAATACCGATGTATTTTTTGTCTATACAAACGCTTTAAATCATGATATTCATCAGTATGACTGACTGATTCCTTTCTATACTGAAACCTTACCACCACTTAATCTGATGGTTGACGATAACATTCTTTAGAAAAGATCTGTTTGTGTCAGATTAATTGTGTTTTTATTTTTATAATCGTCTATGCAGAGTTCCAATTAGAATTAAAATAATAAACTGTATATGACATTTCTTTTGCATAGCATTTTTCTCTATAATTATAGTTCATCAATTTGAATGATTGCGATCATCAAATTGATGATAAAGCAACTGAGAGACGTATTTCAATAATTTATTGGCTTGCTAATGTTTGAAAATAAAAAAGCATATCACAAACTAAATATAAATTTATATTGCACAGCTAATAATGAAGTGAATACGACATAATAATCTGATGAATTTTCGCAATAATAAAAATGCTTTATACTGATTTGATAATCAGTGTTGAAGTTGATGCGTTGTATTTTAGTTAGCTAACTAAAGTGTATTAGCTCGAAATTAATATTATATAACAGATTTATTGTATGAGGTTGTTAGTGATGAATTCATCCAATTATTTGTTCTTTTCTTTGTCTGTTACTTCATAGGTAATACTCTACATAATCTATTTTATACGAGTGAATATTAGCGCTAAATTAGGTGGTCGAGGCTACATGCTGATTAGAGAAACAATGGAGCAACACTGTTTTGACAATGAAGAGTTTGATTTGGATGAGGGGATTGGTAAAATTGGAAGGCAAACTATCGAGTCAAAGAAGATACAAAATGCACAAACTGACTTTCAAAAATATGGTACAGTTTAATAGAAGGATATTAACTCTTCATATGCATAATCTGTAGATCGATTTTCCAAATTTGAATAAAAATTGACCAACTGTTGATTTAGTTTGAGGTCAATACTATCTGTTGAAGTGGTATATTCATTTCTATTATCCGATGTTTGACTGATTCTGCTTGTTACAGCGAGATTATGTTTATAATAAATGCTGACCAGTATAGTACAGTGAACGCTTCACTGATAAAAGTTCTGGCATTTTTCAGGATTAACATCATATGCGATATAGACATGGTCTCGGATTAAAGTTTCTGAAGTCACTTAGGTTATCATTGTTTGTCAACGAAACGAAGATAGCCATCAGGAAAAATCAACGAAGCTTTGTGATCAACAAGGGCAGTGTAGCTTGCGTCCAAAAATTTTTTTGCAGTATGATAAAGATGAATGGTCTCGTTACTCCACTTGAAGCCGATCTGTGGTCCCCAAACCCATTTAAAGTAAGAGGGCTACGTCAGTAACTCTACCTCGTAAAAAGTGCTTGTCACTCTATTTTACCGATATTGTTAAATCAAAGAACAATATTTAGCTTACTAGCCCAAGAAGTTCATATGATAAAGGTAATTCTGAATGGATTGAGTTAAGAAGGCCTTCTACTCAAACTGATGAGTTTAAGGACCACTTGTTTTGTCTACCTAGGATTTTAGTTATCACCATTTGGTCATAGTTCAACTTGACAAAATCACTCCACTTCTAGACTCTAACTTTCGTAACCCAACATACTTAGGTTCATTTAGTGAAACACTAATAAGCTATTGCTTATTAGGAATGGGAACGTGTTCAATGTCAATCAAAAGCATGACATCTGTCCTGCAATATTTTAAAAGTGTAGCATAGTGACGCACTACTTGTTTACATAACTTACTTCTACTTGCGTAATACTGCAAGAACTAACAAAAATTTTACTCAATATTGGGTTTAAAAGTTGAGTTGTATTAACGTTTACTCAACAGCTTCATAGCACGTTTTTGGAGGTGGATAGCTGAAAATAGCTCTAGTTATCCCATCATAAGTGTATCTGAGTTGATTAGTGTTCAGGCTATTATATTTACTTTTCTTATAAGAGCATGTCGTCTCATTTTGTGGTAAATTTATGTGCTTCGATCAATCATTTGTTATCGTGAGTTTCATTTAATACATGTTCGTGGTCAGTGTTAGGCTAACACGATGATATGAAGTAATGAGAAATGGTTATTATTTTGAATTCATTGTATTTCAAGTGGCAATCTCATATGCCAGTCAGAATACACCTAGGTCATTCACAAGGCGTTTTTATTCAGCTATTTAAAAAGTAACTGTAGTTGCATAATTTCACTGGTAATTTAAAATTGTTAATATTGTGCTTCATCGTCAAAGATGCAAAACTAGATACACCGCTTGTTATATGGCTAGGAGAAATGAATGCTTTGAGCCACCAAGGATGTGATTAGTTGGTAAATGGTTTTGGTGATTAACAGTCTGCCGATAAGATTGACATTTCAGACAAAACCGTTAATCAAGATCTTGAAAAGTGAATTTTTCCGGTAGATAAGAAACTTTTATAAAATACTTGTTAGGGCTTAAGCTAATGCGTTTGTGTGGAATGACGGTGAAAACATTTAAAGCTAAACTATTCGACTCTGAAAGAAGTACATCAGCACCATAGTTATTACTGTTTATTAAAACATCGTCACATTGATAAGTAGAAGAGACACACTACATGATATTACATCACTGTTAATTTTCTGCATTAATTAAAATCAAGCAGAATTATTTTGCAGGAATACAAACATTATGGTTGAATACAAATTACAAATAAACAATAATAGAAAATGAAATTAAGAATCCAATAGATAAGTGAAAAACATTTTAACTTGGAATAACAACATGGTTAAGTCTTAGAAAAGAGTTAATAATCGATGCAAACAATGAATTATATATTTACTGGATAGTGTTGAACTAAATATGGCACATGAGAACGAATTAACAAAAGGATGTGGAAGCATGAAAGCTTTTCACAGCAGTGGTACAGAATTGAAAGTTAAGAAAAGAAAACCAATAAGTGGGGATATAGTTGAAAAATACGGTTTTACTATGGCAATAATATATGTAGTTAACAGGAGCCTGGAGACAATACAACCTTAAATAGGATTACATTTTATATAGATATCAAGATAGAAAGAGAATGTAACTTTCATTGATGTTTTCTCCAACATAGAATTATGTTGAACATAAGAAAATGGAGATTAGTAGCGCTTTACATAATCCAAAGGCAATTACAATTTTCAAGATGGAGAGGTTAATTCCTAATTGAGATTATATAATGCCAGAAGATACTCAAACAATTAGCATTCATATGTAGAAATATGATTCACAAGGTAAACAAAAAGAAGCAAGTAGACAGACACATACATACAAATGGTGAACAAAGACAAATATATGAGCCTAACGGAACTTGTTACAAAATCAAGAAACTGAATCCGTCGACTGGTCGGCCAAGGAGACTGATGTTTGAGGTCCACTGACAAAGGCCAACTAGGAAATTGAATAAACAAAGTAATCATTGATAAAAAAATACTTCTTATACAACAAATTGTTAATTTATAAAGATTACAAAGACCTAGTTAATTACTGAACATGTACCACGTGAAACAACTATGATTTTATGAGCAATAACATTTCACTTTTGAGGAAATAGCTGAGGGAATTAAGTGATCGTTTCTATCGGATTAAAGTGATGCTAAATATACTTCACATTAAAATCCTGTGTTTGCAGAAAATGCCATTTTCTTCATGAGGTGATTCTTGATTGTAAGGTCTTGTGACTTTCTACTACTGCTCTCAATGGTTCAAAAACTTCCTATGATCAAATTAAACATGTGAGTGGATGGTAGTAGACATCATATTATTATTTCCAAATATAGCGATAAGAGAAGTGAGACGACAGAGAATCAATGAGTAATAAATATTATGAACAAACTATTTTACATAGTATTAGTAACTATTTATCTAAATATCATCTAGGTACCATTTGACAAATGTGCAATATTAATTGTGATGAACATCTAGCTTAAACAAGTGAGAAGTCGTATGTAATCCAACTTTCTCAAAATCATTCTATCATTTTATGCGCATGTAACTAGTAGAACACAAATACATGGTGGGAGGGTGTCTCAGTACTTGAGGTGTTCGACCTATTATCACCAGGGTGCAGGTTTGACAGCCTCTTTGTCTACTTCGATATGGGCAACTGGAGAATATCACTAGCTCTTACACGGAATGTGGTTCAAAGCATCGTACACTCATCTATACCTGATGAGTTAACAGCGCTAAACAAACAAATAAATAAATTATTGTGGTCAAACAGTTCTGAGGATTAAAAAATTATGCAACTAATATTAATCATGCATAGAAAATAAATCACTTAACAGTCAAGGAGAAAACATTTGTGTTGTGAAAAGTTATAATCCATGTTCGAACTTACAGGGGTTGATATTGGCAAAATAATTGTGGTCCCTAAGGAAGTAGATACAGGAGTACCTAGGGCAGTCATTCCAGCATTTGCTACTTTGATATCTGAAGTCGCTGAGGAATGTACATTATTGTTTTGAATATCACCTGAGCCATTAACTACAGTATACTGTCTGCCACCTAGAGATCGTGAAGACATGTTTGTTAAACCACTGGGGCCAGTTGATAATAATGTCGGAGTCAGGATCACAGCCGAACCAACAGCTGGGGGGACCGTAGAAATTGTGCTGGGAGCAGATGATTCGTCAACGAATGAAGACTCAAGTTTGCTAATCTAGGTATGAAAATTCACACAATTAACCGGTTCTCATAACGACTTATATAAATAATACGAACAGAAAAACAAAAAAATACAAATCTAAAATAGCAAAGATCTACAATTTTCACCTATCACCTAAATGTAACTGCATTTCAACTTGTACTAACAACGCATACTTCCAATACCAACATTCTACTCAATAATGAGTCTCATCTATCTAATCTACTTTAACTCATTTTTTGTGACAACACACTAGCGCCACAAATGTGAAAATGTAGTGCATTTGTGAGTACTTCGAGATCGTTGCATTGCATTTCCCACTGGAATTCTAAATGCCGACTTAATCATTTCGGGATATGATTAAAAAATGAACAAGAAGTGAATATGCACTTCTTCTTTTGTTCGGCTACACAAAAATAAATAAGATTTATGTATTAAAAATTAAATGACATAGATATAAATCTTTGTACGATATAAGTTTGACAACTGGTTTGTAATCTGAGAATGTTGAATTCACTGAATTCCACATATTGCAGCTAATAAACATTTCCGTGTAAACAACAGCATCGATGATTAGACTAAGATAAAACTCAATAACAGTTGAGTTACAGACACCTAGAGAAACAGCTATTACATTATTATTTCAAGTTCACCGATCTATTAGAACCATTTGATAAAATATGCACTGTTTTGGGATGGCCTTTGTTTACTTTAAAGCTGTTAGCGTTACTTAGCTTGAAAGACACAAGAAAATAATCAGTTAATCTGTGATCACTACATGTTGATATTTTAGATGACAGGCCATTGATTATAATGTCTTAATAATGAGCAAGAACTAATAGTCGACATAAATCTTGCGTTCCATATTAAACCTTAAACACAATAATAAAAACAAAAAAGCAAAAGAACGAAAAAAAACTGATCTTTACCTGCTGGCGACAGTTAAAATAAGAACACAACACATAGCTAAATGCAGTTATAAAATTTCTTAAGTGCAAGCACTAAAGTACAACTAAAACCATAAATAGCTAGTGCGATTCACATCCTGAATACTTCATACTGTAATACTGACCCGCTATCTAGATAAGATGATAAAGAAAGATCATTAATCAACCATACTGCGCAAAACTTGAGGAACTCATTGAATAAGTCTGACGACAACAGGATATAAATATTGTTCATTACGAGAGCACGGTACATGACAATAAGCTTAGCTAATGTTATGATGGGGGACTAGTGCACATTTGCACATGTATGTATTTTTCGGATTGGTGTAACACGTAACCACTCAAACAGTACTAAGAA